TTCTTCTTCTTTTTCTTCTTCTTCTTCTTTTTCTTTTTCTTCTTTTTCTTTTTTCTTCTTCTTCTTTTTCTTCTTCTTCTTCTTCTTATTATTATCATCAGTATTGTTATTATTATTCCCTCCCTCCTCTTCTTTTACTTTAACAAACTCTACCTCCTTGCTGCTGTTCTTCTCTCTTACTCACCCTACACACCCTATTCTTCACTAGTCTTTGGTTCAATGTCTATTTTGTCACAGTCTGCTCCTCTGCAGCCAATCCTACCATGTTCCTGTGCACCTCCGCTCACACTCTCCTACAGCCACGCCCCAATCAGCTCGACTGCTCTCACCTGGTTCACTCAGGATACACAAATGTTTGTCAAATGTTTTAGAACACCACACTTTTTCCAGTTTTTTTGCTGAAGATTATTCAGTTTATTGTTTCACTGCACTCTGAAATGAAAGCATAGAACAAATAAGCAATTAGAGTTGAAAAAGAAATCATGAAATCAATTTATAGACCACAATTTAGAATAGCCACATTTGGCATTCTTTCTGCCATATAAATCAAATATCCTTAAGAAAGTTCTTCCCAAGTCTGTTGCAGAAGTTCCCATAAATGTGCTCCATGGGTTTCAAGTCTGGAGACTGTGCTGGCCGCTCCATGTTTTCAAGCTTACCATCTTGTTCTTTTATCCTGAGGTAGTTTTGGCATAGCTTGGACTTGTGTTTTGGGTCATTATCTTGCTGTAGGATGAACCTCTGACCAACTAGGCTCATACCAGAGGGTGTTGCATGGCACTGCAGAATGCTGTGGTAGCCGTTTTGGTTCAGGATGCCGCTCACTCTGTACAACCCCAGACCATCACACTTCCTCCTCCAGTTTGAGTTTTGACAGTTTTTCTTTTTCTTCTTCTTTTTCTTTTTCTTTTTCTTCTTCTTCTTTGTCTTCTTCTTCTTTTTCTTCTTTGTCTTCTTCTTCTTTTTCTTCTTTTTCTTCTTTTTCTTCTTTTTCTTTTTCTTCTTCTTCTTCTTCTTTTTTTTCTTCTTCTTTTTCTTCTTTTTCTTCTTTTTCTTTTTCTTCTTCTTCTTTGTCTTCTTCTTCTTTTTCTTCTTTGTCTTCTTCTTCTTTTTCTTCTTCTTTTTCTTTTTCTTCTTCTTCTTTGTCTTCTTCTTCTTTTTCTTCTTCTTCTTCTTTTTCTTCTTCTTCTTCTTTTTCATCTTTTTCTTTTTCTTTTTCTTTTTCTGCCGCTCACTCTGTACAACCCCAGACCATCACACTTCCTCCTCCATGTTTGAGTTTTGACAGTTGATGTTACACACTGTGGAACCATTATTTTTGTAAACTGTGTTTGTCTGTGTTGTTACTTTATTCATTGAAGCCACCCAATTTGCCAAGAACTCTAAAAATCCTTCAGATATTTGTTATTGAATACTATTGATTTTAGTATATTTGTAATACTTCAAGAAATACATTATTGTATAATACTATATTAGTACTATTTAATTTATATATATTTTAATTTAAATGTTTTTATAATTTATATATATAACTTACTATATTAGTAAGATAAAATAACAATTAAAGATAACTTTAACTAACTAAATAACTAATGAGACTGATTGTGTTATTAATTTGAGACAGGTTAATAACACCGAGTGCTCCTGAGCAGCACTCGACCCATTGCACCTACACTTGGATGGGAAGCCCGCAGTATTACAGCGGTGATCCAGAGACTTGTGGTCCCTTCTTCACCAATTTCTGTCTATTGTAAGCTTTGCAGCGCCGCACCTTCTCCACTGAACTAGTGAAGGGAAATTTTCGTTAGTAACCACCTGACTGAGAGACATTCACCAGCTGGTGCTTCTTTTGATGTGTTTGCTGCTGAACTACACTATATTACCAAAAGTATTGGCTCACCTGCCTTGACTCCTACTATGAACTGAAGTGCCATCCCATTCCTAACCCAGAGTTCAATATGATGTCGGTCCACCTTTTGCAGCTATTACAGCTTCAACTCTTCTGGGAAGACTGTCCACAAGGTTGAGGAGAGTGTTGACTGTGCACCAGTGCACAAAGCAAGGTCCATAAAGACATGGATGACAGAGTCTGGTGTGGATGAACTTGACTGGCCTGCACAGAGTCCTGACCTGAACCCGATAGAACACCTTTGGGATGAATTAGAGCGGAGACTGAGAGCCAGGCCTTCTCGACCAACATCAGTGTGTGACCTCACCAATGCGCTTTTGGAAGAATGGTCAAAAATTCCTATAAACACTCTCCTCAACCTTGTGGACAGTCTTCCCAGAAGAGGTGACGCTGTAATAGCTGCAAAAGGTGGACCGACATCATATTGAACTCTGGGTTAGGAATGGGATGGCACTTCAGTTCATAGTAGGAGTCAAGGCAGGTGAGCCAATACTTTTGCTAATATAGTGTACACAAGGTTTTCTGTTTTGAGGTTCCTAGTCAGCAAAGGGTCTGATGGCACTAAAACAAGGCTACCATTTGGCCCTCTGCCTTAGACAGACATGTCTTGGGCACTGTCCCCCACCAGACGTCTCCTGTTCACCAGCTGATTTCTGGCAATAATGAAACAATTCAGTACCACGCTCTGTCTTCCTGACTAGCACTCATCCTGTGGTATCCATGGCTCCGTCTCCACAACTCTCATATCGACTGGGGTCACCGGGGTCATTCAACCCAGCAGCAATCCGGCTGAAGCTTCCTAGTTCTATGCGGGTACACCCAGCCTTTCATGTCGCCAATGTAGGGTCAGTACACAACAGTTCTCTGTTTTCTGCGGCACCACCACCACCTCCTTCTCCACCAATCGTCAGCGGTGGTCCAGTGATTTGCTTTCGACGGCGGGGTCGAGGCGAGGTCCTGTTTGACCTTGTGAGCCTTGTCAACCTGTCCATTTACATTTATGCATTTAGCAGACGGTTTTATCCAAGCGACTTACAAGA